GCACAATAAAAACTTTAACATTGTGTTGAATTACTAGATTTGTAACCGACTGCAACTCTGTAAATTCAGTGAGAAGAACCAGGGCTTTAGTGCGGAAGGTAAGAAGGCTAATAGATAATCCAGGGAAGCCCCTAGACATGTAGCGAAAGTTAAGCTCGTAAATAACTGAAAGAAGACTGTAGTTAGGTATACAAATGGAAGTAAACCCGTCAATAACCTAAGGAAGACCCAGAACCTACACTGTAATATTAAGGTCAACTTCAGTCCCATTCTCATTTATATTGTTGATACTGTCCATGAAAACGATAAATTTAAGAACACGTATATGACTGCAAGGCAAGGTTATTTTTGCATAGTTACAAGTCAAAATTTTGTTTCAGAAAGTTACCGATTGGGACATACGTGTAATAAACGTGTACTGTAGCTATATGAGAATTTAAAAATGCAGTTCAAATTCTTTACAACTAAAAATAATAATCTAAAGAATTTAATACGGTATCAACCTTAACTAATTCGTCTCATCACAGTTTCTAGCCGAAAGTTAGGCCAACTAAGGATTCTGTTAAACCCTAGTAACGTGCTGAGTCCTTAAAGCAGAAGTTCATGCTGTAGTTACAGCCGTTCACTCAACCCACGTGACCACCTGCTGAGGGGGTCACCACTATAGGGAATGGGGGTTGAGAGATGGTAATGCCCAACGAGGAAAGACAAGGTCATCGCTCTAACCTGTAAAAGTACCACATTGATTTAAATTGTCTCCTGTTATGTCCTTTAAAAAAGTAGTTTGGTATGTTGATTACATAGTATATATTTCTGGTCATTTCTATGTAGACTGTGAAGTTTTGTTTAAATTTATATACTTGATATACCTTACCAGAATCATAGTTCATACCATAATTTGGAAAAAGACATGAGCTTTGCTGAAGTAGTTTGTATGCTCTATGAATATTTGTAACATCTTGAATTCACTGGCGGACAGTGAAGATGCCACTCATCGTTGTTAATATGATATTATCACTGATAGTATCCAAAACTGTGCATAATTATCATCATTGAGTTTTTGTAATTAGTTTCTCATATATACTATGTCACGTATCATGTACTTTCTATTATTAAGAAGGAGTTTTTATAAATTTTCAAGTCTTGTACCTGTATTTTTACCGAAGGAAAACTTTGAGTGATAAAAAGAAAATGGAGGATGCGAGGCAACGTTAATGAGGGAGGGGGGGAATACAAGGCGAGTTTTCTGAGTGGTGGGTTGTCCATCTGCCTCACACGGCAGTTTTACAAGTGACTCATCCAGCTATGTGTTGCGATGGAGACGCTGATCATCTCACGAAAGTTGCACATCTCGCGTAACTGGACAGAACTGTTTCAAGTGTCTTGGATAATATGGACTTGAAATTGTTTAGAGCCAGTCATGCATTCGTTTCCCTACAATATACTTTACGAGTGGAAACATTCTTGATTTTCGTGGGTCTTTGTTTTCAATTTGTAGGCGAAGTTGACGTGATTCCCAGCCACGTCCAAGATTGGCAGCATGTATTTTCCTTAAAGATCAGTTGTAAATTACATATATATCAATTTTCATGGTCTTTCTGCGTTTACAAATACGAATATATACACAAATATAGTACGCCAAGCCGCCGTTTACCAAGGAAGATCAATACCCACATGAGGTGTAGGGGGATTCCCTCCCAAACGGTAGGGCGGCGTCTGACTCATAGGGGATTTTGTCCACCCACCTTTCTGATATACTGCATCTGATGAAGCTATTTACTCTGACTGCCGTAATCCACTAGTAGATCTACGAATAAATATATAATGGAAATTGATTTTTTATCGCTTATTACAACATTTCATTTACGTTATTTTTTTTTTTTGTAATCGTATAAGTCTATAAGAGATGTCAGATATTTAACTCACGAATGATTACATTGATTAACGAAACAAAATGTTGGATATGAGATGAAGTCTATTTAACGGTGGGAGGTTTACTGTAGTGTACGAACACGAATCGAATTTATTGGTTCTGGAGAGAAACAGAACCAATACAATTAGTTACGTCTTTCGTCACATGCTGCACGGGTGTTTAACACATTCTAATCACATTTAAAGTAAATTTAGGTAATTCGTTAATACTCTTATTGTTATGTTTTTAAATTCACCATTAATTGGAATCTTACACTCCTCCATCAGATAATGGAAACCAAATTATAATAATGGCTGAGGTGTCGCTAGGTATTGATAAGATATAGATCACTCAACTACGTTTATTGGTGGTCTTAGTTTATCTTATCTGTTGTGTGTATCCAATAAGATTTTGTGAATATGTTATAATCGATTTTTTTTATATAATGATTCATGGATGTAGCGTGGTGGGTTTGTTTTGCTAGCCGTTGAGGGAAGTTATTATCTGCTCTGTAATGAAAAACGGAGATGGGCTAAACATCGGAGCCACTGTCAGCTTCGCCGTAATCTGGACCAATGAGACCGAGAGACATGCAAATTCTGCGGCAAGTTACTGGACTGTTGTTTGTGCCGCAGTAACTCGTGTGCGCCAGTCGCCTAACTTCCTGCCATTTGGATTTCACTCTAGGGAGATAGAAGGAGAGTGGGAGAACGTGAAGCCATATTACGACTGGGGCGTGCCAATGGACCCTCTATTGTCACCCGCCTTCCTTCCAGCTCTTAACACTTTCACGACCACTATGTTCGTCTTTTATATTACCCTACAACTTACAGTATAAACACGTTCACTTATAAAGGTCATACACATGTACGCACATTCACGTTGTTAATAGAAAACACAATTACCGTCTGCCAAGCTTGTGATGAAACGTCCCTCATGGCATTCAGCCAGAAAGTCAGTGCAAAAATTATTGATCAATTCATCACTTTTACAAAAGTGTCAATTTCAATTTGAAAAGAACGGAAATCAATAACAGTGAATAAACATGGTGCTGAGACAGTGAAGTGGACAGTGGAAACTGGTTATCGTGGACAGTGTTCACAATGTAGGCCACTCCTCCAGCGGGTTTCCCCCACACCCCCTCGCCCAGAACAACGTGTTTCCTCTACAACAAATCGTCAGTGATTCATATATAACGTGTATGTTAATTCCATGTCTCCAGTTTGTATTGAAAGCTTTTGTTAAACATTCCATTCCCCAATGTCACTCACTATACCTATTACTGTAAGTAAGTTTTGTCATATATTTTCAGCTTCTGACTGCTGTTCTTTTCAATAAACCGTTTTTTTATTATTGTATTCCCGGCCGTTAAAATACAGGCACCATAGTGGTATTTTCTCACTGCTGCTATTGTTTGGATGCTATAGGCTGCGACTGCCACATGAGCACAGTGACGCTTCCACAATACTCTTTCTTGGACATTTTTTTTAATTGATTTTACCTGAATAAGGGAAGAAGAGAAACAAGTGGAGTTCCAAGGGCCACGTAATAGACACACACACACACACACACACACACACACACACACATATATATATATATATATATATATATATATATATATATATATATATATATATATATATATATATATATATATATATTGTGTGTGTGTGTAGATTTAACTTGAATATTATTTAGTATTAAATATACCCGGTACACACAGTGCCGTTGCACAAAACAGTTCCTCACTGGCAAAGGGATGCTCTGTATAACTAAAGGTGAACACCCTGTGATGAACCGACCAGCACTGCCATGCAGCGCACCCTAGCAACTCTCTCTCTCTCTCTCTCTCTCTCTCTCTCTCTCTCTCTCTCTCTCTCTCTGGTTTACATTATTAATACCTTCCCCGCCTGTTATGATCTAACTTATAAACCCTACTACCAGTCTCCCACCCCACACCCTGCTTCCCATTCTCTCTAATTTCCCTCCCCATCCTATGAATATTTTTGTATTCCGAATTTTAGCTCGTTTTTGATACTGTATTGTGCTGTAATAGCGTAACTGATTTTATGGTAGCGTGGATGGAGCTTATTATTTGGTTTGGGGGGATTAAACGTCTAAATGGATTAGTTCTTGTTTTTTTTTAATAATAAATACGCTATATAATCTGTACAGTAATTACATTATTTATTTTACTTCACTTCCTATCAGTACGTTGCCCTGGTAGCCTATACTTATGGTGCTCCTCCTCTAAATCTACAGCTTTACCTTATCAAAATTTTCCATTGACAGATATGACACAAAATTGGTTCCAGCTCTCTTGTAGTGTTCTACTAGTTTTGCCTCCCCCCAATCTACCGCCCCTCCCCTGTAACCTCATCCAATTTCCTCGCCCAGCCTCCACAAATTCCTGGCACCTTGTATTCCTTCCAATTTCCTCCGTCCATATTCCAGTATTGGGAAGCCACTGCATAACATCAAGTATTCGTCTTCCTTCTACCCCTCCCCAATTTAATTATGTTTAGTGAATTATTTGAAACAGTATATGCAATATAATTGTTAATAGCTGTTTGCTTTCACTTTTTTTTATACTGGGTGCGTGTTTTTCGTGTTTATATTACCCTTAGCTCATTGAATATCATCGAATAGGCAACTGGATTTGAATGTTTATTAGGCCAAGTTATGTGTGAAACCTGTAATTTTAACGCTTACTGTTCATGTTATTTTTTTTAAACTTGTTATTGTGATGTGTATTTACAGTAAGTTAGGTGGTGATTGGTTTTTGTATACCCGTGATTGGTTATTTACCAAAGTGAGTTGCGATTGCTGGTTGAGACATTCCGTCTGGATAAGATTTTCTTCTGTTACCCTTAGTGAGATGGTGGGTAAATGTTTAGTTGATAATGTAAAAGGAAACTAAAATGTATATGGCATCAATCAAGTTTTGAGGAAGTAAATAGGGAAGTCCTGCAGGGAGGGAGGAGGTGGAGGAGGAGAGCGAGTGGTGGTGGTGGTGGTGGATCAATATTTAGCAAGGGTAGGTACCGTGTGGGGACCCAGCCAACCTCTAGTTGTAGTCCAACCCGCTAGAGTGCACCGTCTCGCGCTCCATCTGCACCTTCCCATGCGTTACCTCATCACTGGGATTTGAACGATATATTTAGTGATGTTCAAGTGGTTTACCGGTGGTTTGTGATGTGTAGTGACCCGGTGGTTTACCTGAAGGAGAGGTCGTAACTGGCCATGGCGTGAACGCCATAGGACTTCGCTGGATATCTTGAAAGTAGGTGATGATGGCGTAGTGCGTTGGTTAGATTGAGTTCACGCACACCTTCCCTGTGGCGTGATAATAGTGTGTGGGAATGATGGGCGGTGTGGGTGGGCGAGGAGGAAGCGTGCAACATGAACGTGGGGTAGGGTGTGTCAGGACAAACTGTCCAGAAGCTTACAGAGATCGGTGTATTGCTTGTATTATTGAAGAAGTTAAAGTGGCCAATAGGTCTTAAGAAAATCACAGGTAAATTTGCAGAAGGGAACGATGCAGTGTGAAAGTCCTTAACAAATAGCTTTATGAGTAGGGTACCTCTTCGTTGAAAGGAAGGACGGTACGGTAGATGTCACTGTCTTTAAAAATCTGGTCCATCACTAAAAACAATAGTCGATTAAGTATGAGTTAGATGACGAATAACGTAGACACACCGCAAAACAAGGGTATACAGTAAATGGAACAGCGGTCACAAATATTCATGCGATCGAAAATGACATTCCGATGTCCACCAAATCCCACCCTTAAAGTAAAGAGAGAATGGCACTTGATCTTGTTTTTTTTTATTTTATGAAAACACCCTATGCCTGTATTGTGTATGACAAAATTTTTTGTAAAATTTACATTAAATATGAAATTCATTCCAGTAGTTTCACAGCCCACCCCCAATGGACGTTACGACTAAATAAATAACCGGTAATACTAGAAGGTCAGAGACGTCAGTTACCTTGGCAACGTAACGTAAAGTCAGCTAGAGTTAATTGTGCAAGGTGTCTGCGAGTGGCCAGGGAGCTACATGAAGAAGGAACAAGACAGCACATAACTTTAACCCTCGGGTCTTGATTGCAGACAACTGTATAACTTAGAAACTATGTACTGGTGAAGTTCAGGCTAGAAGCACTTGAAACTTCTTCGTCAGAATTTTTAATACAGCTGAAAGTGAAATTTAAGACATTAATTTGAGAAAACGATATTTAAACATTAAATTGTTTATGACGACTACTCTTAGAATCAACATAGTACGGTATGTAACTGATAAAAGATGATTGGTCATCCAGAAATTAGAGAAACGAAAGAATTAGCAACGAACCTCAGAACAACATTTTATAGCCTTGATCCCTTAAGCACTAACTCGATGACGGGATTATCTCTGAAATATTATCTGGCCCTGAAACATGTCCCTTCCACATTAACTGCTTTGTGTGTTTGCAACACGAAAATATGGAAGTAAAATAAGGCGAACGCTAGTTAACACTGGCGTATCAATAAGTAACTAATATCTTCACAACATAGCCAAATGGACCACGGGCTCGCGCCACCACCAGGTAGACTGCTGGCATGAGGGGGCGTGATTTGGAATACTGATGCAGACTGTTGGATCAAAATATAGATTTCTCAGGTGATAGCTGCTGTGTTTCTATTTTTAGTTGCATTAGTTTAACATCTATCTCATTCTAAACATGTGAACTTGGATCTGTTGTTATTATTGTATTTATGTAAACTCTAGATGTTCTGACACTGACCTTCGTCTTGCGGACATTTGCTGATACGTTTTCTCTATTTTTTATTTATTTAAATAATTTTGGTTATCAGTTAATGCATCGTACAGTAGTGTTACAGCATGAAGATATAAGGTTGAATAATTTTCATTCGACTCAAAATTATGTAGAGTAAGTATGATTTTTATAAATACTGTATTGTAATTATTTGTTAGAAGTATTCGTGTTCACTGCCACTGGGTTGAGTTAATCCACAATATTTTTGCTCGCCGACGAGAAAAAATCGTAACTTTTGAAGACAGGAGGTATCTTCTTGAGTGTTGCGGTGCCAGACGTAGGAGTATATGTTGGTGGAACCTACTGCAGAAGCTCCTGGCGCTAGTCTTGAGAGATTCCGGTACAGTGAACTTTTCTTTATTCATTTTCTGATCTATTACCTTATTATACGTCAAGCATGCGTGTCATTTATGCTTTTGGGGGGAGGGGGGGATACTTTTGCGGGGATAAGGCCTACTGTACTTGTTTTTGAAAAATAGTGTTAACGGGTGATATTTATATAAATTTTACTGACGTTAATTCATAAGATTCTTATATTTTCAAATTAATATATACTGTAAATATTCTTTATCGTATCCGTGTATGTTTCCGTCTTTCTACCCCTTATCATCTCCGTATCCCCACCTAGTTGTTTGTTACATGCAATTAATCGATTTGGTGCACATAATTCTAACCTGCGACATTAATCAACCGTAATTATAAGTAATTGTCGATAATTCACCTTCCATGACATTACCCTGTTTTAGGCCACTGCAATTACCACGGGGGGAGTGAACCAAGTATTTTACAAAGTTCACTCGTGTTCTGTAGTTCCGGAGGTGAATACTCAAATATTCTTAAGTTAGGTTTTTCGAATAGCAAGTCGTTGAAGAACACTTCTCATTGACAGGTCTAAAATAGGACTCAAATATGACGGGTCAAAATTGATTGATTGTGGTAATTACATCCCGAGCGACGCATCAGCTTAGATCATATGCCGCCAAATTTACACCAAGACACTACTGTAGCCAGAAGTGCTTTCCCCTTCCGCAGGCAAAAGGTTATCGTGTGAATCATTAAAACTGTGAACTTCAGGTCGTTGCCGTGGTAATGTAAGTAATGGGTTTTACACTAGACAGCAACTTTTTAAATTTATAGAGATGTTGGTTGTTCTTTTATGTACAGTCCACCTTCACTAGTACATTTACAGGGGCTCCTCAGGTTTTGTGCAGTGTAGCAGTGCTGTGTTTGTTTACATTCGACAGAAGGAAACTCGCAATAGTAAATATATAGTTCTATGGAATCAAATTAAACCAATATTAAAACAAATATCTCAATGATAATGATTTGTGGAATGTATATGATGACCCTCCGTAAACACACTAGGGAGGGTCTGTACATACTTCTGTGCTTCAATAATTAGGTCTATAAATATGCAACCTAAATCAGACATACCTCAAAGATAAGGAAGATCCTCTTCCTGTTGTTATAATGTTCAGTACAGTAATAACACGTTTCAACGGTTAAGATACCCTTGACCACAGAACAAAAGATAATTTTCTACATTAGACAACTTTAAAGAATTAAGATCTTGAAGCATTAAAATAAAGTCAGTTACTACATTAGACAACGATTTCTGATAATTGGGTAAAATGAGAGTTTGTTGCTAATGTTCATCAGGTTTATCAAACACTGAAAACTTCGCTCTGCATAATGTGAGGGTTTGCATAGTCAGGGCCTCACTTAAATTAGAGGGGTTGCTTTACACAATCTAGGTCTTTGTTCTTTTTATAATTGTTGTAGCTACCGGTACCTTTACAATCCGGGGAATCTTTTACGAAGGTCTGAGTAAAATATGTTTTCCTTATACAGTACAGTTCTAAATTACTTGGCTCATATATAGCAAATAACTGAAACCGTAATTAATCAACATAACAATACTTGGGGCAATTTTGGACTTGTTTGCCACTATTTGGCTATCTTCTTAACAGTTCAGATCTTCCTTTCCACAATTCGGGTCATTGAACATGGTGTAAATCGCCTCGAGCACAATGATCTGAGAAAATCAGTAACATTCAATTATCTCGTCTAAAACGGTTTGGCTCCTTTCTTATCGGTAGCTCATCTTCCGTCCTGTGTCCATTGTGTTCAAGCGGCACGTACTGAGAATCAAGGTCGGCGCTTGAGGCTGTGAAATGTCTTTGTATTTATTTGTTTATTGCAGATTTTAAATTGTTTTATATAAGAACTATAGTTAAAATTAAGCTTTAATTATATAGGAATGTTAAAATGTAGTTTAGATTCAGTGTGTTTATGAGTGGCATAATTAAAGTTAGACCTAAGTAGAGATTAAGACGTAAGTAGAGATTAATGGGAATTAGTGACCACGTAAGGTAATATATTTGGATTCCTGAATTAATTCCTTTTCCTTGAGACTAGATCTACGTTTTCGTTTTTGCACCGTTTTGATTTTAAAGTGAAGTAGTAACATCACACTGGAGTAAAGAAAAAATGATGTACACTTCTTTGAAAGATGATCTGCAATTTTTTCATTGATATTTGAAATTACAGCCAATGTAGTGCGAAGTAAAAAATACGAAGCTTCAGGTAGAGCTGAGTGGAGTTTTAGATCTGAGGCTCTATAGCTGTTTTGTCTTGCCCGCCTTAGACGGATTTACATTCAAAAGACACTATAAAAAAAAATCCTGGCCAACCTTTTTAGGAAGGTGACTCATATATAACCTGGATCTACCTTCAGTCCCATCTTCGCCAACAATTTATCCCATTCTTCCCCCTCCCTTCATTGGTTTCAGTGTGGAATTCCTCGTGCTTTTTATTGTGACTCAAACATTCTTCCCTCACTAACTACCATATTGTCTTTTTCATCCCATTCGTACTTGTTTCGGTAAACTTCCACTTTTTTTTTCTTCTTGTTCTTCCCGCCCGACCACTTCTTCCCACTCACCCGGCCACAACCCCCTCGGGCAGGTGTCCTTAACCCCCTCCAAGGTCATGACCACCTCTCACACGCTCTCCACCTCCTCACGAAGTGCAGCTTGTCTCTGGGAATAGGTTAGAGGCTGTTGTGTTTCCTTGGGGCGCCTCAAGAAAGGGTGTTGCTCTAAGTGGCTGGAAGACGTAAATGAGTCACCCTCACATGTCAATCTACAGTAAAAAACCTTATTGGTTTTAATTAGTGAGGAGCAGAATTTCATGCCACTGAGAATATCAGTATTCACCCAAATTGTGTCTAGTGTTTGAAAGGTTCATTCTTGTGTTTTATATATAGTATTAAAATTTATGAAGTGATTTAACCTCGATAGTTTTAACCTACTTGTGATAACCCTCACCTAACTTTATAGCTCATTTATACGTAAATTCGTTTCCTGGAGTGAAATTCTACTGAGTAGTTGATGCAGAGAGCCACTAAGCAGCATGCGCAACCAGAGCAGAGCTAGGATCATCAGTGGCGTCAGTCAGTCAAGTACCCCCAACCGGTTAGTGTAACAAACAACCCCGTTATGTAATAAAGTACTGTACTTCAATATATTACCAGTCGTTTCTACAATGTTTCTTGCAACAATATTAATTCACCCCCACCCCAATGTTAACTTAAGAGAGACTGTCAATAATTGTGTCAACCGTGTGAGGGCCGATTGTGTTGGCGTAAACAAAGGTTATTGTGAAGCAAGAATAGCCATGACCACATCAGAATGGAGTGGTGGCGTCTTGATCTCGCTTCTTCCCCTCACGTCTATAGCGTACGTATATTTGCGTATGTTTACTCAAATCTGCTGAAGAAAAAGTCACATGCTATTGCACGGGAGATTAGCCGAAAATTTCTCAGGAAATGGACGAATATTCTTTAGGAAGTATTGTAGTGGGCTCTTGATATAACTAAGTGCGCGTCATCTGTACCTAAGTAGTGTATCAACCCTATCCTTGGCTGAGACCATCACCAGCCAAACTCGTGAGGCTGCAGGAAAAGGGCAAACCTGAATTCTCTGCAAGAGCTTAAGATCACAATCGCCAAACGCTCTTTAGTGCCTCTTTTTCAAAGTTCAGACCACCATTTCCGTATTAATGCTTACATATAAGAAATTATGGTGCCCTTAGTAGAATACCTCCCTTAGGATTGGGATTGTTATACAACTCATCTCCTGAATCATTACGTTGGCTAATATTTATCACTGAAGTTTTACAGATTTCATTCATCTGATTTGTATATTTGTAAAGAAATTCACCCACAAATTTCCTTAGAAACTATCTAGTGTAAGTCATTAAATATCACTTTCTTCCTCGGCGGGTAATTAAATTAATCCAACATATTTGAGAATCTTTGGAGGTAGCTTTATCCAATATTGTCATGTAACGTGTATAAGCAACGTAACCCAACTGAGGCGGTGATTTTGTGATGTAGAAGGACGGCAGCCAAGGTTAACCTGGCAATCTCAGGGACATGCGAACATCAGGGAGAACCGATTTAGTGGAGGGAGAGAGTTGTATTTTATTTTATTTTTAATCATGTATTGGGTGTGTACAGTGTGTACAGTATATATATATATATATATATATATATATATATATATATATCATGTAGATCCACAATGAAAACGGTACGCTGATTCACCATGGAGAATCTAAATGAAGATAGTAATAGACATCTAATAGCCGTGTTTCTTTTGAGAAGATAAAAGACAGAAGAGGGGCAGTCAGTCGGAGGGAGGGAGGGAGGGAAGTTGCGACAGTCGGCATCAACGTTGAGTGGCGGGAATTGGTAGTAAGAGGAGCGGTCCAACACAGTCGTCCCGCCCGAGATATCATTGTGTAAAAGTGTGAGGAATCTTCATTCCATCTGACAGGC